GACACCAGCTGGTCTGTAATACTACTTCTGGGCTTGGCTCCTGTTGCAGGATTTATGGGGCCTCGAAGGAGCTGATGGTAAACAGAGCTGGCTTTTCTCAGATGACCTCTGCCCTGTCCCTTCTTCCCTTCACCTGCTGTTTCTCTGTGGTTTATCTCTGAAAAGCCTCTGGAGCCAGCAGGGCCAGGCGTAGGAGTTCAGAGGAGCGTGCATGCGTGCATGTGTGTATGTGTGTGTGTGTGTGTGTGTGTGTGTGTGTGTGTGTGTGTGTGAGTGTGAGTGGGGGGGGTGTCTGTCCTTCATCTGGGAAGATAACCCTGGATTTCTGGTGTCTAGAAGTAAAGAAAAGTCTCTTCTGCTCAGTGTTTGAGTGGGAGAGGCCTGCTACCTATCCTTCTGTTATCTCTGGGCTTATCTCCAGAGAAAGTTTGGAAAAAAGAAACAGAAAACCAAGAGTTTTCTTAAGGCTGCCTATGAAAGAGAATATGTGGGTGTGAAATAGTGTCCTGGGTGGTCAGTGAAGTTTTTCAGAGTGTCCAGGCTACATCAGGAAACTTAGATTAAATGATTTAATATATTCAAAGCCCTTTGCAAACTCTAAAGAGCTATAAAAATGTCAGTTATTAATAGGTAATTAAGTTTGCTATTTTCCCAGAATACCCCTGTTGCCATCAGCTTGAGCTAAGTCTTGGGCCCTAGGAGCAGAAAGAGGCCCTGAGGCATGTCTACTACATCAGCAGCCCCTGCAGAGTGGTAGGGAGAGGGAGCCTTCAAAACATTTGTTTTAGTGGGGGGAGGCATGAAATTTAAACATATGTCCCTGGATGATGATAGCCAGAACGTTTCTGCTTCTAGCAAGCCGTTGATTTTGACTTCTGGGTATATATGGTCTTCACGGTACCAAGGCTACTGTGCCTCCCTGTCTCCTGAGTCCTCATACCTGGTTCCTACAGTTATGAGCAATAGAACTTTCACTGTTCGAGACAAATAGCGTTGCTGGACTTGTTTTCTATCTGTAAAATGAAACATTTATACTATGTGTTTCTTAATCTGAGTCCACGAATTGTTTGTTTTTTTTTAAATGGTGATAAATATATTTCAGTATAACTGATTTCCTTCATAATTCTGTGTATTTTATTTTATATGTTTTAAAAAAACCAACCTTGTGGGAAGGGCTTTATATGCTTTGCCAAACAGGTATATCACACAAAAAATGTTAAGAACCCTTGGACCAGATGTTTTCTAAGGTTCCTTTTAGCTCTAACAGTGTATGATTTCAGGATTAATTTAAGAGGCTTCCTTTCTGCCCCCTTCCCTCCCTCCCCCCCTCCCCCTTATCAGCTGAGGGAATAGAAGATGGCTAAGGTTAATCCCTTAATTTGGGATTTGGTTGATTATCTTGGAAGAATGTTCAGTCATTTTCAGTTATGTCTGACTCTTTGTGGTCCCATTTGGAGGTTTTCTTAGCAATGATAATGGAGTGGTTTGCTGTTTCCTTCTCCAGCTCATTTTACAGATGTGGAAACTGAGGCAAACTGGGTTAAGTGACTTGCCCAGGGTCACACAGCTAGTAAGTGTCTGAGGCCAGATTTGAATTTGGGAAGATGAGTCTTACAGGCTCTAGGCCTGGTGCTCTGTCTGTTGTGCCACCTAGTTGCCCTTTCAAAGAATGACTTCTGCTTAATTGATCCTGGTGAGGCAACAGGTTACACTCTGGGAGGGGAAGTCCACTTTTGCTTTCCTTACGATGGAAGGTACCGGGAGTAGGGGTCAGGAGACAGACACTAACACTGTGGAGAGAGTGAGGAGAGGGGAGAGGAAGGGAAGAGAGGGGAGGGGAGAGGAGGAGGAGAAGGTAGGGGAAGAGAGGGAAGGGGAGATGAGGGAGGGTGCTTCATGATCTGGGCTTGGTGGTGAGAGTAGGAGTAAAAGCGCGCAAGGAGGGGATACCAAAGCACCCCTGCCTACCACCTTTGGGATTATCTTCCTTGCCTCCAGCCATGGGTTTACAGAACTCTGTCCTGGAGCTACTGCCATGGGGTCATCCCCTCCCCTCCACTCTTTCATTCTCCTGAATTCCTTCTGGTAGGACTTCATACTGGGAGCCCAGATTCTTGGGCACAAGTCATTGCTTCTACCCTCCAGATAGTGAAGATACAGATGGGAATGATCTATTTGGAAGCAAGACAAATGTAGTTGGTTATGTCTGAGGATTTTTGTCTTCTTTGTCTAACTTGCGAGTAGCTCCCGGTGATTTCCACCCCTCCATTTAGTTACTTCAGTCTAGCTCCCTAAGTCTAACCTGTTCTTCATCTAAGATCCCCCTTTCCTGGTTCCCTAAAAAGCCAGATAATTCTTAATTCTCTAGTCTCAAATGAGTTTATTCCCTAGTCTAGGGGCTTCCAAATTTTAGAAATTGTGGGACTTTTATATTAACAATATATGCAAGATACATTTCTGTGTTTAATCTGCATCATTAACATTTTGTCCATCACTTTTAGAACTCTATATCATCAACAAACAGGAAGTCAAGCCCTGATTTATAACATTTGCTGATTTCCAAGGTGTAAATGCTCACTCTGAAAATTGAACAATTGGCTCTGGCTGGTCTTGACCTGATTCCAGCCCACCTCCGGTGCCTACCTGTCTTTGCAGACTACATTACGCCATACATGCTAAGGGCCAACAAAACTGGCCTTCTGATGTGTTCCTCACATGTCACATTCCATCTCTGGTCTCTGTATCTTTCGTTCCACTTGCCCTCCATGCCTGGAATGCACTCCCTCATCACTTCTGCCTCCGCAAATTCCTCTCCTTCTTCTGCAGGAGGCCTTTCTTGATCCCCCTCAAAAACTAGTGCTTCTCCCTCCCAAATTATCTTGTGGGTATTTTGTATGTGCGTATAAATGTATACCTATGCTATATGTATATTACATACATGTGTAATTTACTTAGATATTGTTACTCTAAATTCAAGTAAACTTTCTGAGGGTAAGGACTGTTTTGTTCTTTTTACTTGAATCTCCAGCTTTAGCACAGTGCCTGGTACCTAGTAGATGTTTAATAAATGCTTATTGATTAATTGATTACCATGCGGCATACTATTCTGTAAGCCAAATAGCATAAAACAGAATTTTTACTGATTTTTCAAAGGAACCATAAAATGCCTGAGTTGGAAGGTTTTCATAGGACATCCTAGAGAATCTTAGAAGATTAGTACTAGGAGGAATCCCAGAGGTCATCTACTTTAATCCCTTCATTTTACAAATGAGGACACTGATGTTTCTAAAGGTTAATTGCCTTGCTCAGTTTTATATAGCCTGAACTACAACCCAGATCTCTTAGACTTGTAATCCAGGGCTCTTTCCATTCCATTACTGTCTCCAACCTCCTCAGTTTGCAGATTTGGAAAACTGAGACCTAGATAGGGGGAGTGACTTACCTAAGGTAAGGTCATATGGTTAATTAATTAGTGGCAAAGCCAAAACAGGAAGCTAAGTTTCCTGAATACTGGTCCAACCTTCTTTCTATGCCATATTGAAGTATAGCCAACAATCCATAATGGCAGAAGGATCAGAAATATAATAATAATAATAATAATAATAAAAACAGTAATAAAATGACATACTGTTCATAAAGCTACTCTTTAATATAGAGTTACTTAGATATAGTTTCGTTAATAATTCGTAATCAAGCCCCACTCTAAATGGCCATGCCCTATCATGACATCATCTGGCTGATTGCCCATCTGTATAATGGTTTCTGTGGAATTAATTGCCTCTGTAATGTTAGGATACCCATGGATGACATTAGGTGGGGCATGCCACCTAATAAAGATTAGGGAAGTAAGATTGAGAGTGGAGGTTATGAGGATCGTAATTAAGTTTTTCTCTTCCGTTTTCTTTTCTTCATTATTCAGTTTTCTGCTCTCATGTGGCAGCACTCACCAGGGCCAGTTTCTTGCCCTTTGATCCTACTTGGGAACAAATGTTCTTCTGCAGGGTGACATTGAAAGGTTAATTTGGAGACAGAATGAGAAAAAGTAACGAGATTCCAAAATGACATCTTCATCTAATTGTGAAACTTCCCTGGAACCCTAGCCAGCTTCTTGGACCCCAGTTTACTATACATTTTGAAAATCCTTTTCTGAGGCTGCTGGAAAAGTCAGGCCTATTCCATATCTTCTTTCAAACTGTCCTCATACTCCTTTCAGCCAGGACACTTGCCTTCTCTTTGTTCTTCATGTTTTCTGGATCTAGCACCGTCTCCAGTCCTTGGGGGCAGGTATGTGTGAGACAGAGTAGTTCCCTTTTTTTTTTTCTTGTCCCATCTGTTATTTATCCTAACCTGTGTGCCAGAATCAACTAGCAGTCATTATTAAGAACCCATTAATATGAATCGATCCCTTATTTAGGGAAATATAATAGGGGAGAATTTGCCAGGACAGTCTAGTTTTCTGTGATTCTTGGAGATATCTTGGAGCAGTTGATGTGATTGTAATATGGGAATCTTCCACCTCCAGCGTAGGGTTTTCCCAAAGCAGACAGGTTTGGTGTTCAGCTAAATAGTAGGAGGGTGGGAAAGAAATGACTAGATATGGGAGAGAATGTGTGGCTGGAGCATTTTTTTCTCCACCCTTCAAGTGATACCCTATGCTTTGTGGCAGCCTATATCTAATATGCTAACTCCAGCCAAGGTAGAATATTACAGATTTGCATATTGATTGTATGTTCACTGAATGCTTTGGTCTTAGGATCAGAAAATCTGGATTTGAATTCCAACTCTTACAGATTCTAGCATGTGACCACAGGTGAGTCACTGAACCTCTCTGAGACTTGGTTTTCTGTTACAGATAATAACATTTACATTCCCTGACTACTGGGTACTGTGAAGAAAACACTTTGTTGAACTTTAAACGTTGTAAGAATGTGAGTCACTGTAATCTGAAATAGTTCCTTACCTTTGTTCCAATTTATTCATTTTTCTTTTTCCTCTTATAGGTCTACATTATCAATGTGACTTGGTCTGATTCCACCTCCCAGACTATTTACCGGCGATATAGCAAGTTCTTTGACCTACAGGTAGGATTTTTCTTCTATGGAGATGCTGTTTTGTTTCACTTGGAAGGATCTGGATTTCTCATTGGCCAGGCTTCTTCTCACCTCTCCTTCCTTCCCTCCCTTCTTCCCTCCATCCCTTCACTTGACCTGGACAGTAATTTTCATCCAAAGACCTTGTGCTCAGATTATATCAATAACAGAGGATACAGACCTCTTGGATTGAGCCATCTTTGTGAGGGCAGCATTTCCTGGGCAATGCGGGTTTTTCCACCAAAGAACACGGATGCTTTGGGATATTTTTGACAGCTTCAATATGTTTCACAGAACCTCAGAACTCTCCTAGAGGGGGAAAGGACTTTGATGGTTTCCTATAGAATCTCAGAGTTGGAAGGGGCCTCAAAGGTTCTCTAATCCAGACACCCATCAAATGCAGGAATCCTCACTATATCCTTCATGACATCTAGACTGGTCATCTAACCTTAGCTTGGAAACTTACGATGAAATAGAATCTCAGAGTTGGAAGGGGCCTCAAAGGTTCTCTAGTCCAGACACCCATCAAATGCAGGAATCCTCACTATATCCTTCATGACATCTAGACTGGTCATCTAACCTTAGCTTGGAAACTTACGATGATATGTATGGAAGTTCCCTGTCTATCCAGGCAGCCTATTCCATTGTTGAATAGTCCTCATTGTTAGAAACTTTTTCCATATATTGAGCCTCCTTGTAACTTCCTGCTATTGGTTCTGGTTTCCTTATCCTTCTTTCCTATTGTTTTTTTCAAGGTGGGGCAAAGGTGGCAGCTATAATGGCTAACCACTGTATTGGTGGGTGTGTGTATATGTGTAGGCGTACAAATATGTGCGTATGTAAATAAGTGGGGTGAGGCAAAAGTTACCATACAGTGAATCAATGAAAAAAGACTTTTATTGAGCACTGTGTGCCAAGCACTGGGTATGCACGTAGAAAGGCAAAGCAAGTCCTTTCTCCCAGGGTATTCACATTCCAATTGGACGAGACAACACAAAAGGGAGGGTTGAGCCGCAAGGGGGATGGAAAGACTTTGTGGTGCTTAGGGTACGATGGCAGGATGGTGCTTAGGTCATTTTAGGAAGGATTGTAGTTGGTGCCTTTCTGCTCATCTAGTTGGTGTGAGGAGGGGCATGTCTGATGGAGTGGGGTGGGAGTTGGAGGGGCTGGCCTACTATCATTAGGAAGAGAGAAGTCAAGTCAGCAAGCACTTAGTAAGTGCTTCCTATGAGTCGGAGTGTACTGGGGGCTCTGGATTCTCTGAGAGGGACTGAGGATGGGGGAATCAGCATTTGATTAGGTGGAGGTAGGGGACATTGGCAGGAAGGTTAGGGGTGAGGATTCCCTGGAGCATCCGCTCTGCTAGGCCCTCCAGCACCCAGTGAGGTCTGGGCAACACACTTTTACTTTGGTGCTATAAAACTGGGTAAATCACTGAATTATACAGATGGCAATCTGCTCATGAATTGCTGGTGCTGAAACAAATTAATCATCTGGTGGCTGATTTTTTGGTGATGACTTTCTCCAGACTGAATTAGGCTGGTCCTTAGATAAGAGGCATAGAAAAGATCCTGGAACCAGAACTGGAAGGGACCTCAGAAGCCACCTAGGCCATACACTCTATGAATGTAAAGATCTATGTTTTGTATTGTTTGCTTGGAAAAAAAAAGCATATACTAAATCTTACTGTTACTTTCAAAATTGTCCTGCTTGTCTGTGCTTCTTTCTGTTTTCTTCTATGTATTCAATGTGTGTGTGTGTGTATATATATATATATATATATATATATATATATATATATACACACATACATACACACACACATATGTATTCAGTGACCTTTTTTTTGGCACTACTATTGCTAACCTTCTCCCACCGGGTGTGTGGGGGGGAATCTGTGGCCTCGAGGCCACATGTGGCCCTCTAGGGCCTCAAGTGCGGCCCGTTTTCCTGAATCAGGGAAGGAAGGGTAAAGAGAAGAATACACTAGGCTACAAAGGAAAAAGGGCAAAAGAACTTGCTATTTCTCATAATGATAGTGGGTGAGAAGAGTATACAAACATGGAGGTGGGGGAGTGGGCATCCAGTGAAACTTCACTGTTATGTGAAATGGACCAAGGAGGGTGGAACACATTTATATACACATCCGATCCCCACCCCTGTATTTCAGCTGTCCATTAAACTGAGAAAAGAAAGAAAAACATTTGTAACGTATAAGTATAAACAAACAAAATGAACCCATGCAGTGGCCATGTCCAAAAATGAATGTCTCTGGTGCACCTTGTATCCATCACCTGTTTATCTGGGGATGGGTTATAGGTTTTGATACAGAACTTCTGATCATTGCATTGATCAGAGTTCTGAAGCCTTTCAAACATGTTTTTCTTTATAATGCTACTGTTCTCATATAACTTGTTCTCCTGGTTCATCTCACTTTACTCTGCATCAGTTTAGACTGCTCAAAGATTCTCCTAAATAATTTATTTTGCAGTTTCTTATGATACAAGAATATTCCATTATATTGATATGCATACCCCAGTTTCTTCACTCATTCCCTGATTGTATAAGAGGCAATTTAAGGCTTTCCCCTTATATCCTAGCTCTTTTCTTTTCTTTTTTCCTTCTTTTCCCCACTTCAAGATCAGAAAGTTATTTTTAGTGTCACTCCCCCTCCTTTACCCTATTCCCATTTGTTTCGCTATTGAACTGTTGTAATTCTATCTCTGTGTGTGTGTGTGTGTGTGTGTGTGTGTGTGTGTGTGTAGGTGTGTTCTGCCCTCCTTGGTCCATTTCACCTAAGAGTGAGGTTCATTGGATGCCTACTCCCCCACCTCTATGTTTGTATACTCTTCTCACCCACTACCATGAGAAATAGCAAGTTCCTTCACTTTATTCTTCCTTTGTAGCCTAGTGTGTTCCTCCCTTTACCCTTCCTTCCCTGACCTCAGTTCAAACCCTCAGAAGAAAACCAAGCCATCCCAGGTCCTCTGTTTTTTTCCTTCAACTCCTGCAATAACTTCTGAAAGACATTAAGATTCTGAAGGAACACTTGTTTCTTCTCCCACATTTAGAATGTTAGCATTGCCTTATCATGCAGTTCAATCCAGTTGCTCAGATACATTTACCTCCTCAGGTTTTTCTGGATTCCTGCCTTTGTATTTCGAAGTTCCTGCTTAGCCCTGGTATTTTCACCAGAAATGCTTGAAAGCTGCTATTCCATTAGATATCCGTTTTTTCCCCTCTCTCTAGGATTATTCTCAGCTTTGCAGCATAAGTTACTCTTCGTTGTAAGTGCATATCCTTTGTCTTTTAGAATGTTGTGTTCCAAGAGCTGCCAGGTCTTGTGTGATCCTGACTGTAGTTCCTGGGTACTTGAACTGCTTATTTCTGGAGGTTTGCCATATTTTTTTCTTTGATGTGGGAGTTCTGTGACATTCCTAAGACTTTTCTTTTGGGGCTTCTTTCATGAGGTGATTAGTGGATTCTTTCTATCTATATTTTGTCTTTTGGTTCTAATAGATCAGTTTCCTTTTATGATTTCTTAAAATAGAGTGTCCAGTTTTTTTTTAATTAGAGTTTTCAGGAAGTCTAGTAATTCTTATTTTTCCTTGAGTTGTTTTCCAGATCATTCAACAGGCATTTACTCAGTGCGTACTATGCCTGCTCTGTGCCAAGCAATATTGTTTTTCATATCAGATATGCTACTTTTCTTCTGTGTTTTCAATATTTTAGTTTTGTTTCAACATTTCTTGCTGTCTTATGGAGTCATTGATTTCTATTTGGTTAATTCTGATTTTTAGGGAATTTGTTAATTAAGGTTTACGGCTATCTCTTCTAAACTATTTCTTCTTCTAATTCTTTCCTTCAGAGGTTTTATTTAATTTAAATTTTTTTTTTTACTTTTTTTTGTAGATGTGGTCCTTGTGGAAAATCCATGTTTTCCTTTGAATCACTCCTTGCAGAGTGACTCCAGAGTTACTCTCTCCTTTCTGGGGATCTGCAGATTTGCAATCATTTTTTACACTGGTTGGTGTTTGCTTTGATTTACTCACCTTTCCAGCTTTAGTTCATGAATTGAGGCTTTATGCCAGGACTGGGTTCTGCCACTTGCTGACCTTTCGGGTGGGATGGGCATGTTTAGTCTTTTGCTCTGGGTCCTCTGGGTTCTTGTGTCCCCATGGGTCTTTGAGGTTCAGAGTGCTGCTGGATCTTCATGGCCCTCTCTTGTGTCTTGGAGACATGAGAGTAACAGTGTGCTAGGAATCACAGAGCCCCTGTACCTAAGCTGCCTTAATCTGAGAGGCTTGGTGCTGATTACCCGAAGGATTTCTCAAGGGAGCCCTCTGTTCTTGGTACCTCCAGACACAGAGCCTTACAGACCACAGGTGTCCCTGACCATCTCTGCTCAAGTTGTGAGGCTATGCTGGACTAATGCTGACTTTACTGGAGGCCTCCTTTCCTATGGTTTATTTAATTTATATTATTTAATTTGTTTCTGTATTTCTTTATATTCCTTTTGTATATAATTCTCAATTGCATTGGCATAATGGATAAAACACTAGACTTGGAGTCAAGAAGACCAGAGACACAACTCTGACCCTGGGCAGATCAATATTATCTCTATTTTATTATTTATTATTTATATCTCCAATACTGCCCCTACAATATTATGTTCATTTTACAGATGAGGAAGCAGACTGAGAGAGGTAATATTTTCTGATCCTGCTCTCTTGATTGTTGAGTCCTTAGCCTAGACCACCATTTCTGAAAGGGGCCCTAGTTACCTGACTTCTCTGCCTCCCCTCTAGTTACCTTGCCCCTACCCTACCTTTCCAGTTTTCTTGTATATGTTGCCTTCCCCCATTAGAATACAAGCTTCTTGAGCACAGGTACTGCTTGGACGCTTGCATTGATGTCACTGGCACTTAGCACAGCACTTGGCACGTAGTAAATGCTTGTTAAATGGTTTAATTTATCTATCTAATAGCTCC